CATCTTACTAGGCCCAGGGATATGGCCGAGGCTCGACCATTGTGACATTTCTCGTATGGCCCATGTCTGGCTGCCACATTGGGCCCATGTTATTTTGCCATGCATATGCCTTACTTGGCCCAGTCATGGTTGGCTACCTGGGTATGGATTAGGACAAGATTTTTCCCCCTGAAAGTCGAATAAAATCCATGCAAAATGTAAGTAGGCGGCTTCGTTCGGTCATGGAAACCATACCGAAGCATTGACGCAGTGGTAAAAAGTGAGGAAGAGTCATCGTTACGAACACCATCTCTGGAACGGCCAAGGAACTGAACCATTGTCAATTCACATCAGTATCAAAGTGCACCCTGTGTGCTGGAACGATTTTCCTACGTTTCATGGAAAAAAAAACTTTAAAGCTTGTGGAACGACCCTCATGGAGGGAAATTCCAATTGACATAAACAAATAAGTTTCACTGCGCAAGAGGACACAAAAGGCACTTCACCCACTTTCCCTGTGTCTCCCTGCCTCACTCCCATGAGATTGAAAGTTGGGAAATCAGAGCTAGTACACGAGTACTGTTATCATGGCTCCAAGCAAAACAATTTTAATTTCAAACCTCCAACAGTGGTTACAGGTTTGCAATAGATTGGAACAAAGTTATTTCAATTTCCCTCCCACCAAGGAGGCTCCCGTTTCCTGTTCCCACTTCCCACATCACCAGAAGAGGATGGGTACGGCTCGAACGATGCAGGTCTGTTCTTCACAAAACCCCGTATTAAGCAGTATGGAGGTGAAAGCCTCGAGACAAACTGAAGGATCCATGTGAAGGCATCCCCAAGGAGTGTCTGGATCCTGGGACAGGTGTCATTCGTCAGATTCCCACCCATGACACGATGCAGTTGGTAACATGTCAATGGTTGGGACTTCCTCACTCCTTTGGCTTCAGGACGTCCAGTTCTCTGCTAGAACACGAGGATGGAAAAATATTAGCCATACATTCTTCGCTTTGAAATGGTATAGTAACATACAGCATGGGACACCATATATAGTAAGATAATAGATATATACAAACTAACACTTTGCACTAGTATCTACCCAGCCTTCTGAGCAACAGGGATTGACACCAGGTTATGGTTCCTTTGTATCACAAGGGTGAACATCTCCTGCAAAGGAAAGCAGAAGCAGCAAGGAAGCACAATTTGAAAAAGTGAGTCAGGCATTCACAAGCAATGAGTTAGGAGGTTAAGAGGCTGTGCTGTTAGCATCACACATATGTAACATTATCATCATTCAATACTGCAACAATCGCCCCAACATTACAGCACCATCAATCAACTTCATAAACATTTAAAAAATTGAAGCACTAAGTACTTTAATTTTAAGTACTAATCCTTGGATATCATCCATCAATGTCCAAGTGTCCTTGAATGTAGGTCCAATGGATTCATTTTTGCTAAAATTTACTAATTTGGGCATTTATTTAATCCTCCAAACAATGATCTGTCAGGAATTCTGTTCAAATCTATCAAAGCTATTTACTTATTTTATTTCAAGCTATTTCCTCCAAGTCACATAATTAAAACAAAGTTCCCCCTTAAGAATTTTTTTACTTCCTCCCTGGCACATCATGTCCACATATTTAAAGAGTCCACATATGATCTGTCCACTCCCCACCCTCAGCCCCCCCCCCTCATTCCAAAACCAGTTCATTATACAGGGTGTTTCACTTGCTATTGGCCCCAAATTTTTCCTTATAACTTTCAAACTAATTGACGTAATGTAGTGAAATGTGACACAGACATGCTTGCGTGAAGTGAAGGCCTGTTTCCTGTTTGCCGCTGTAGTCAGTATGGATGGTGCGACGATTCTGACAGTGGTGTTGTGTACTGTATCGTCCACATTCATCATGCCTGTGTGTTACGTGAAATCCTGTACAGTATGAACCGGTACACAGTTGAACAGCGCGTGTTTATTGTCCGCACGTACTGGAAAACTGCATCGATAAAGGCGTGCCAAAGACAATTTATTGAGCAGTTTGGGGGTCGAAAACCACATGCAAAATTCGCCATTCAGCATCTGGTGAAGAAACTGGAAACCACTGGAACATTGTTGGATGTCCACAAAGGAGGCCATCCGAAAATGCCAGAAGCAACGGTGTAGGACGTGAAAAACAGACTGCTAGCCTCCCCGCAGAAGTCCTTGCATAAACTGTCGCAGAAGATGGGGGTTTCCACAAGCACGTCAAAGAGCTGCAAAAAAAAAAGCCGACCTGCATGCATACAGTGTTACTGTTGTTCAAGAATTGAAAGCTCCCGACCAGCAGAAGAGAGTCATGTACTGTCGTTGGTTCCAGCAATTTGCCAATGACAATCCCAGCATACTGAACTATACGTGGTTCCACCTAAGTGGTCACGTTAATTCCCATAATACCCGTATTTGGGCGAGTGAGAATCCTCACGAGGTGTATGAGGAACCTCTTCATGCTGAAAAACTTGGGGTGTGGTGTGCCTTGTTGTGGCGCAGCATTATCGGCCCCATCTTCTTCCACACAACGGTGGATACCGCAGTCTACATGGACATCTTCCATGAGTTTGTGAATCAGTTGGACGACGAGGAAATCAGTACTGGCTTCTTTCAGCAGGACGGTGCAACCTGCCACCCCTCCAATGTCAGCATGGCTGAAATTGCTTCATTCTTTGATGATAGTGTCATTTCCAAGGGACTTTGGCCACCAAGGTCGCCTGACCTTACACCACCGGATTTCATCCTATGGGGCATGCTGAAAGGGAAAGTGTACCGCAACAAGCCACAGACTGTCATGGCACTGCAAGAAAACATTCGGCGAAAAATTGAGGCTGTGACTCCCAATATGTTGGTGAAAATCTTCCATAACATGGAGTGGCGCGTTCAAGCATGCCTGGATGCTAATGGCGGACACTTTCAACACTTTCTATGATGTCATCATGCTTCCCATACATCAAGGTATGTCTGTGTCACAAATATGTGTGTCAAATAGCAAGTGAAACACCCTGTATAAGCCTGTAGTCAAAGGTTAACTTTTCAATACCAGGGGCCAACAGCTAATTCATTGAAAATTGCACTAATTTGCTGATAAAATTCATAATCCCAACAAAAACAAGTTAACACTCTCCTTTTCATGAGCACAAGATTTTTTGCAGTGATTCTGGTATACCCTTCATTTGTTTTGGCATCATTCTCTTTACTTTCTCCCATCAAATTCACCTTGGCTATCATACCCCTCCAGTTCTTTCCAAACATATGTCCATGAAATGTTGCTGCAACATGACTAGAGTTAAATGATGTTGCGATAACATCGCAAGGACATCACGTAGATGTGTTGCTTGGTTTAGGTTCTAATTCCTTCCTTTGTAATGGTGGACTATCCATACCTTCTTTCAAAAAAACATAATACAATTGCAAGCTTCAAAGCATACCTCACTTGTAACATCCCTCATTCATAACACCTAGAAAGATTATTTACTCCAATATTCTATTTCTTCAAATAAAATTCATCTGCCTTTCTTCTGGGGACTACCTGCTTTCAGTGTTCAAATAACAGTCACATTCAACATGACTTTCACCATTACATGGAACAAATTTCAGGGTGTTGAGTAATTTAAAGTCTTAAGCTTCCAAGTTTTCCTTGTGGGTGCAGCCTTGTGAAACACAGCATTGTCATCCTGCAGAATGACAACACTAGCCCACAAATGGCTACACACAAGTGTGAGGCTTAGCATTGGCATTCTGCAACATGACAATGCTGAGGCTCACAGTTGCACAGACAAATGCAAGGATTAGCATTGCCATTCTGCAGCATGACAACACTAGGCCTTGCACAGCTGCACAACACAGCTAAGCATGAGGCTGGGCCTTGTCATTCTGCAGCATGACAATGCCCAGGCCTCTGACAAAAAAATGCTCCAAGAAAACTTGAAACACCCATTGGGAGTAAATTAGAATTACTATGAGATTGAAGCCCCCCCCTGCCCTCCTTAGTCACCTTCACCTGATCCTACTTCCTTACCATCTGCCCTTCCAGCCAACAGCAGCATGATGCAGGGGTGAAATATAAATCCCAGCTACATACCCCTAATAAGAAGCCAACACCTTAACTCGGCACCCTCTACCACGTCTGCAAGATCCCTATCCACTTGAAAAACCCTTTGTCAGTGAGGTAAACCATTCCCACGCTTTCCCTTTAATTCCATCTGAAGAACACACTGCCCTCTTCATGAAGCTGTTATTATTCTGTAAGCCCCCATTGGTTTGCTACTTGTGGATAGTCACACAAAGTCTGAAAGTGAACCCCAATAGGACACAAACTTCTCTGCACCCCAAAACTGTAGCTTCAAATGCACTAGCTCCTTCCATGATGAAATCCAGTTGTTGGAACTAATTGGGACAAAGGAAATCAGCAGCTGTTCATATTTTAACACTTTCAGAGCAGTGGACAAATTTTTCCAACCATGTGTACTCATTCATTGCTTTTTCTTAGGTTTCTTCCCTCATGTAATTGGGGTTCTTGTTAGATGGCACAAAAATCGACAAGTAGCATTTTTTAAGTACAGGTTGTCCAAGAATGGTTACATTGATTTCACATGCAGTTTGCACTAAGAAGGAGTTGTGAATTTACACACAGCAAAATAGACTTAGTAGTTCATTAGTTTCCTATTGTTAGGCATTGTAAACAAATTCTCAATGTGTGACGCTCTAAAATCTGTTATGACATCTAGGAAGCAAAAGGCTAAAAGCTTGATATAGTTTATGAAACTTCAATTCAAAACTCGTGTCCAGAGTGAATTGAGACAGATGTATGATACAGACTAACTCCTTTACAAGGACTCCATTTGAAGATGGTACAAACAATATGAAGAAAGTGGAAGTGTGGAACCATAAGCATCTCCTGGTAGGCCTCACATGGAGAAAACAAATTCACCAGGTATTTTCACAAAGTTCTCACAAATCCACGTGGCTAGCTACACTTGAATTTCAACACCTTATATACATGGTACATTTATGTGCTTCAGACAACTACAGGTGCATGGATTTAAGGAGTTCACTTCATGAAAATGCACCAAAATTCATGCTGACACGTGACTGAAATTGTGCTAACCATAAGGCACATAACCTTTTGCTTTCAAGATGCCATGAACCAATTCTAGAGCACAATATACAGTGATTACTGGCTTACAACACCACAATGGAAGAAAGATATTCAACTTATCAAGGTAGATGTTGTAGGGAGAAAACTGTCATATGGTATGAGAGGTATGAGTAGTAACATCCAGAAGACTACTTTAGGTCACAGATAGGGTCCCTTTCAATGCTCCATGCCAATGCTAATGAAAGAAAAAAAAGCAGCAAAAATTCCATTAGTATCAAATCAATGACGTGGCCACAGAATCTTAAGGAATCATTCATTCAACAAGAACCATCACAAATAAAATTATGAAGCAATGGAGGAGCATGAGAGACTTCCTAAAAATTAAAGGATTACATTTGGCCAATTTCACTTAAAATAAAAACACTAACATTTACACAAACCTCTCAAAGACTCGAATGAAAAATAACAGCAACTTAGATACCTGCAGGATGGGCTGGCTAAATTGATAGAGAAAAGGAAACCTATGTATCACAAAAGGACAAAACTCCACTCACCATGGTGCAAGCAACTATCACAAACAGCAAGCACCAAAATTATTTAATACTACAACCATGCTAAGTATATTCAAAAAAGAAAACAGCAACCAATGGAATGGAAGGGAGGGGGATGGTGCGTAGAGGAATACCCGCCAGATAATCAGGTGAGCACAATGGAAAATTACTACTCTCAAGATACACAGCTGAAATAGAAATTTGATTTTAAAATAGAGAAATAAAAATACACACCTGAAAAAATTACTCCATGCTCACTAATTGTGCACACTAATTTTAAAACTACTTCCAATTAAACTTCAAAATGTCACAACAACTTCATACCCTAAAGGCATACCTTTGCAAAACTTCAGCCTTCCATGGAAAAAGGGGGATTTTACCTGACCAGTTTAAAGAATCCATGTTGAAGCAGTTGAGTTTAGGGAGAAGTCCTTTCAAGAAGCACTGAATCCTCCCAACAGATGATTTGTAACAGGAAAATTTGTGTATTCTCTCTCATCCCATTAAGTTCATAAAGAATTCTTGCACATAAGTATTTAGACCTTTTAGTTTCACTAAATTTCTCTCATGGAAGAGTAAGAAAATTAGGTTCAATGCTTTTGGCTCAACTTGGAAATAATGATCAGTATAGGTTTTCTAAAGTAAGGAAATGTGACAAGGAAGTCAGAGTCACTGGGCAGTATGGAAACACCAAAAGTGACAGTCAAACATGTTACTGTGGTGTATGTCAAATTTTAGGAAAAGTATGTTCAACATAATGAAAGTCAAATGCAACAGATACACAATATCACTATTAGGGCAATGCCTCTCGTCGGACTTTCATAATGTGTGGCTTCAGGTGCATTTACATGCTCCTCTTTTGGAATACCTCATTTGGTATTTACCTATTTGTCAGGGTTAGTTAAGGAACAAGCTACCACCAATCATTTAGGACAGGAAGCCATTTTTGCAGGTGGAAAAAAAAGCAAAGATTTGGGGTTCTAAATCCTCAATTGGTATCCTTTTTAAATGCATATCTGGCATAATGGGGTCATTGACCCTAACAATAAAAATAAAAAAAGTTGAATGCAGTTGCAACATAGCGCACCAGGCACAGACATCAAAACAAATTCACAATGATTGGGAAATATAATCAATATAAAGTGGAAATGCAGAAATGAAATCCCAAATGCCAGTGAGGGGCAGACAGGATAACAATTTTGTTTGGAAAAGAAAAAAGGGGAGGACAAGTTTGACATGGTGGAAGGCACCATCTCTGGGAATGTTCAGCTTTTGCTTTACCTCACTGTACCTCTTATGGAATGATAGAAGCACATTATAGGAGGAAGAGAGATGTTTGCGACACCACAGTGCTAAGCATCCAATAGGTGTGAAAATTACTAAATCAATTTTTTGGCCTAATATTCATGCACAAGCTTTAAGAAATTGGAGTGATTGTACCCATACATATTCAAATTTGACCCTTGTACCTAGAATTGGTGCTTGCAAGGGGAAGCAATGGTCTGCTTGAGCCAGTATTGAGTTTAATTGAATTTTAGAGTAAATTAGTCACTTCTTTGTATCTATTCACTGATACCATCTGTCCCATTCCATCCCATGCATCGCCCCTTCAGGGTTAGTCCTAGGGAGATGCTGCTTGATTTATCAATATTAGCCAAAAAATATTATTTACAATAGGAGCACCAAATGCAAATACACTATAATTCAAAATAGTGAAAATACTAAAAGGCATTCCTCTGACAGATATGGTATGCATACATGTTGCATTTGATTGTCCTCATGTTAAATTCCTTTTCCTTAAAATCCTAAAAGCAGAACCTCTACCCACCAAAACTCACTGACAGGCATCAGGATTCACCACAGGCATTGCTGGATCGATGAAAAACCCAGTGGCACTTGCAATGGTACTCACATCCTGGAGAGTATAGAACTTGCAATTAGTTCAGAATGAATATGCAGAAACTAAAATTCATTTCTAGAGCAATAATACATTCACAATACCAAATCACCCTCATGTGAACAAAAAACCTTCAAGGAAACTGAACCATAAATAACTTTTGTAAAATCTTGCTACACAGTACTTTCTGCTTTGTNCCTCTTCTCCGCCAGGTCCTCTTCTCCGCCAGGTCCTCTTCTCCGCCAGGTCCTCTTCTCCGCCAGGTCCTCTTCTCCGCCAGGTCCTCTTCTCCGCCAGGTCCTCTTCTCCGCCAGGTCCTCTTCTCCGCCAGGTCCTCTTCTCCGCCAGGTCCTCTTCTCCGCCAGGTCCTCTTCTCCGCCAGGTCCTCTTCTCCGCCAGGTCCTCTTCTCCGCCAGGTCCTCTTCTCCGCCAGGTCCTCTTCTCCGCCAGGTCCTCTTCTCCGCCAGGTCCTCTTCTCCGCCAGGTCCTCTTCTCCGCCAGGTCCTCTTCTCTCAAAAAAACCTGTCAACTCCTAAAATCGACTGGTTAACACGTTAGCTACGAAGTCTATTAGTCACTTTGCATTTTAAAAATTGCGAGAATATAACAGCATTCATTTGGTCTTTCCCAACGAAAAGTATGAAATGTAATATCCTACAGTCAGAATTTACCTGTCCACAAGACCTCTACCTATATGTTGAGAAGTTCCTTCACACCGTATATAACGTTTCTTTGCTTTACGCTTCGTACTATGGCAATGAGTAAAACACTTAAATGGATTAACCAAAATTACCTGAAAACCCGACCCATTATTTCGCCATACCTTCCACTTCCTCAAATGCATGAACACCATTGGTCAATGCGATGACTTCGTTTCCTACCTTTTCCGAATTCCATGATCACTCCGATTTTAATCCCAAAAGATCGAACATTTCGGATACCCATCCCGAAAGAAACTGGTAACCGTCGACACCAATGCTTCGCAGCAGCATGCAACTATGTTTCGTGTTTGCGACGACTGCTTCTTGACTTTCTTCACCGCGAGGAACCGACGGAAATGGCACGGGACAAAGTCAGGGTTGGAAGAAGAGAGAGACCAAAACTCCCACCCAAAGGCTTCTCACGTTCCTCTTGCGTCCGCAGTCGAGCGAGGTCTAACGTCGTCGTTCTGCAGCACGACAACGTTTGGCTGCACTCGACTGCACGCACGCAAGGCTTAACGTTGTCATTCTGCAGCATGACAACGCCAGGCCTCGCGAGAGAAACGTTGCAGGTTTTGCGATGGGAGCGTCTGCCTCACCCGTCGCCCATTTGGACCAAGGCTTCCCACATTCAACAAAATTAGTTCTATCCATTTGGAGGAAGAAAAGGCAGTCATGCACAGGTGGAAACATGATTCCGTAGAGGAAAAATATATTTTTAATACCCGAGAGCGGTTTCCAAAAATAAAATATATATTTAAACAAAAAGTAGCCAAATAAATTCCTATTGCGCAGTTACCTTCAGAACCATAGTCACTGCTACTACCTTTTTCCACCACGTGGCCGAGGCTCATCTAAGTTGGTTAACAGATTTGCGGCGAACAGCGAAACGGAAAGAAGCGAAGTTAGGCATGGACAAGGATTTCAAAAGGGGTACTTCACTTCGATTCCCACCCGTGGAGGCAGACTTAGTAGTTAGAACCCTGCTTCTTGACCGGGGTTGCATTTTGAAATGGTCTAGTTGGCCTGGTCCGTCGGTACCACGTCCAGGTTCCTCGAGCGAAACCACATCCTAATAGGGCCCACGTCGGGCACACCGCCTCAACGCTTTTCCCAAAAAAGCCTATCGTAAGATAACGTTACCGTAACGTAAAAGCCACTTCACGAGTAATCGGGTGTTAGGCCTAACTTGGTCCCACTTAATATCCTTCATTTAATTAGCATTTTCGGACACAATGGCAGCATCTTAACCGTGCAAGAGCCGAAGCAATGGAACGAGAACTCCCGAACCGTGAAAAGCCTCGAGAAGGAATACCACGGAACGAACTCACGAGAGAAGCCTGTGAAGAAGTCCTCCGGACTACAGACTAATCATACCGTGTTGTGATTCAATGACGAAGACACGAAAATTGGAAAGACGGGAGAAAAGCCAGGTAGGTGACGTGAAGGGGCGACGCGGAGACACCTCCATCCTTCGTGGCTGCAGGCAGGCGAAAGGGAAGAGGGAAGGAGAGCTACGCGATACTAGGCTTCCGATCCGGGCCTGTTCCGCGGGTTTTTCACTTCCTGACCAATCGCGTCACATCATTCGTGATCCGCTCATGCGCCAAGAAGGAGCCCCAGGCCGGTCACGTCACGATGTTCTCGGTGCGGAAACTTCTCGGAGGCCGAGAGGCTTTCTTGGAGGCCGAGTCGCGTTCGGAATGGAGAAGAAATGCCAACGCCACAGCACGGCATCGGGTGCCTACGTCTCCGTCGCGACCGCAATTTCTCATTTCGACGTTCGGCTCCGTTCCTCGGAAGGTCTGGACGGCGTCGTGCCCTCATCCGATGTCGCTCGCGACTCTTCGCGCGACTACGGCACACGGTAGCGATAAAATCACGAAATCGGCACGAACGTCGGCCTCACCGCTTCCGCATTCGGAAGCGACAGGAATTTCGAGCCCTCTCGTCTTCGAATCCGGCTCTCCACCTGCGTTTTCAAAGTCCCGCTTTTCGCATCGACAGTCATATCGATCGTGAGGAACGTGCACGTCCGTTCACGACAGGGCCGTTTCTAGGGGCGGGCGATCGCCCGGAGCGCCAGGGGGGTAAAGGGGGAGGGAGGGGCGCCAGAGGGGTAAAGGGGTGGAGGGGGGAGGCGCCATTGGAACTTCTTGCCCTGGGCGCCAACACGCCTAGAAACGGCCCTGGTTCACGATTTCGGACGGAACGTCAGTGAAATTTAGTCGAATACGCTCTTAAGACACGTCATCACGTCGAAGGATGCAACTTGGTGGTAAACCATATGGGAGGGATGGAATTCGTGGCGCCGACCCTATTTCCCATCGAACGGTTGCGACTCGGACGAACCCACGTCGGAAGGTCGACGTGACTATTACATCGCCGTACGAGTGTCGTCCGAAAAACGAAGCATGCCGACCGGGGGAACCTTCGTACCTGCCGACGGATCGGAGAACGAGGCGAGAAGAAGGCTCCCGTGACGTACGCGAGGAAAGAAGGTCGCACGTTGGGGTTCCCGTGCGTTCGCATCGTTCCGCTCGTCCGCTCGACCCGTTCGTCCTCCGGCCGACGGATGGTGGCGACTCGGGCGGAGACGAACGAGTCGTACCTACGCGACTGCGCGTGCGACAGACCGATGCTCGCCTGCCCGAGTCGCCGAGTTTTCGATTCTGTTCTTTTATGACGCTTTATGCCGTCCGATCCCATTCGACTCGCGCGAGGAAGTCCAATGAATTGCATATAGATCGATTACTCACCGGGCCCATTGCTGTTCAGTGGTGAAAGTTTTATATATATATTTTTTTTTTTCTCTCTTTTTTTCCTTTTTTTTTTTCCTGAACGTGTCGGAGATTCTTACAAGTGTGTCTCGTTTTCATTGTCTGCGCTATGGGATTTTTGCTATGGTGTGCTTGTTGAAACTGTGTGCTATGACATGTTAAAGTCCTTTTGAAATCCCAAAGATCGTTCTCGCGTTTCCGAAAAACACTCAGATAGGGAAAGAGACGACGACTTCCAAATGTCGAGATTTAGTGCATCGTCTCACGATCGAGGGTGTCGGTCCCGACCCGACACGCCTGCACAGACGAGCCCCTTCGGCATTAGACCTGCCCGAGACGAGACGGACTCGCGTGTCTCGGTTTCGTCGAGTCGGAGAAACGCAGACGGCCTTCCGGGCAAATCCAGGAATCCCAATCTCTCTCCTCACGAGACGTAGCAGGAGCAGACGCCAGTTTTCCTACTCTTCTCCGTTTTTTTTTTAAATTTCCTCCCTCTTTTTCCTGAAAGATTTTCCGTTCTTTCGCATCGCCCGTGCATCTAATGGCAGATAGAGAAACCGAACGCACCTGAACGCACCTGGACTCGGAAAAGCTGCCACTCGGAAAAAAAAGTTCCTGGAATAGGCATGACAGAAAAAAAAAACACTCAATATGGAGCCACGGGAAGCTCATGACGTCCAAGCTTGGCTTTTAATGTCAAAAATGAGTAAATAAAAATAATTAATTTGCATACGTCTGGTATTGCGTGCTCCGACTCATGGAGCCTTCGTAATTAGCGTTTAATCATATATGTATCATTGGAATCGTGACATATCCACCACATATTTAATTCAATACATCAAACTATGGTTAGGGCAAAGCGGATCGCCTTACGTGCAATCGCTAGAAATTAAAATGAATTTCCAATTAAATGTCAGCAGTAGATGTTTCTTTTTAATTTCGAACAGGATCCATGCCGTTCAAATATCTGAAGAAAGACCACAAAAGACTTTCATGGATTTAATGCTTTCAAAACGTTAAGGAATAGGAAGTCAAAAGAAGACTTTCAAAATAACAGTTTTAATGATTCTTTTGCCATCGTTTAGCTGATCGATCGAATTTCGGTTTTGAGGGAACTTTTTCCTGCTTTTGCCCCGGGGGAGGGGAGGGGGGGGGGGCTATTTTCGCTTTTCTCGATTCTGGGAATCTTTTTTTTTTTTCTAGGGGAACCTTGGAGGCGAGTGTGGCTTAATTTTCCCTCAGCTCCCGGGAGACGAAACATCGAGGCACGATCCTATTTGGAAATGTATTCCGTTTCGAATAAACTTCGCCCATTGCACATAATGAAGTTGCCCAAGCAGGACAGGAATGATGAAACCGGCCCTCCCCCCCCCCTTCCCCCCCTCGCCTCACCTCCCGGGCCTCATTAAAGTTAGGCCTAAAGACCGAAAGACTGCCTTTAGGTTACGCCAAGGCAGATTAGCCAGAT